TTATTAATATAGCATTTATATAATAATTAAATTAAACTTTTATTTAAAGTTATTAGCTATATAACTAAAACTGCTTATAAAATCCCTTATATCTCTTTATTAATATAAACCCAATGTTAAAGGTTTATCCCTTAGGAACTAGCTACCCTATACCAGGTATAGGATCAGAACGTCACAAAGAGCTTATTAAAATAAAATTATTATAGAAGCAAGCACAGACAAAAACATCTAGTCTCTAGCTAAGTAGCAGAAAGCCACTAACTATTTCTAGCCCCCTTTATTAATAAATAAAAATAAAAGTATCTTTAACTTTATTAAAAGGGCAACCTACCTTAAAGATAAGCTATTTAAAAGAAAAACTATAGAAAAAGATATTTTAAATCTTTAGGACAGGGACTTCCCTTTTAATAAGAAAATTAAATAAAATATAGAAGTTATAGAGAAGGAGGCCAGGAAGGCTACTATAGGCTCTGGCAACACTGCCCTAAGGGCAGATGGAATATTAGTAGCACTTTTATAGCTTGCCTGGCCAGCAGTTAGTAGCTTTATTATAGACCTCTTTTAGGGGTGCCTTAGTATTAGATATTATTTACTTTTCTTTAAAAGTACTAAAGTAACTATTATCCTTAAGCCTAGTAAACTTAAAAAGGCATATACTATATATAAAGGGTATAAATTAATTTTACTGCTATTTTATATTAGCAAAGGGCTAAAGAGACTTTTTACTTAAAGAATATCTTTACTAGCCTTAAAATATAAAAAACTACTAAAATAATATTTTAATATACTTTTTAAACAGGCAGCGTTAGACCTGGTGGCCTATTTAATCTATAATATTAAGGCAGCCCTTGCTAAAGGATTGGTTGCCTTACTGCTTACCTTTAATATAGCTAGGGCGTTTAATATTATTATATATAATAAACTAGTCTTTAAATTTAAAAAATAAAGCTAGCTTAAGCTTTTTATTCTTTAGGTAGACTTTTTTATAAGTAACTATAAAGCGCTAGTTTACTATAGGTATAGCTTTAAGCTATAAGGCATAAGCCTAGAATACAGCGCCTTATAAAAGTCCTCTATCTCTTTAATTATCTTTATACTATACTTCTGCCTTATTTTTTAACTTAATAACCTTAATACTAAATTTAGCTATATAAATAATATAGGCATTATAGCTATTAAAAAAAATATAAAAGAAACTATTAAAATACTGTAGTAAGAGCTAGAGGATACCCTGGATTAAGGCTAATGGAATATAGTATTCTTTAACCTAGATAAGGCTAAGTTAGTCTACTTCTACTATATATAAAAGAAAACCTACCTTAATAATATTAACTTTAAAAGCTAACTTATTTCCCTTTAAGACTTAATAAAATAGCTAGGTATATACCTAAACTTTAGACTTTTATTTAAGAAGTATATTAAGGTTATTATAGAAAAAGCCCTTAAGGCAGCTAACTTTTTAAAATCCTTTAATAAAATAATTAAAGGGTCTTTATTAAATATAGTAGCCATGGCTGCTAAAGTATATATTATCTCGGTTGCTTTATATAGGCTGGATGTATAGTAGCCAGGGGATACTAGATAATACTAGTTAGATTTTTTTAAGACTATAAGTACTGGCATAGATAATTTAATTAAGAAGCTAAATAAAGCCTTTAAAACTGCAGCTAAAGTAGTAGTCCCTGTATAGAAAACCACTAACTTAGAAATTATATATAGAGAATTAGGCTTTCTAAAGGCCTTACTGGCTATTACATAAGTAAGAGTCTAGATTAAGGCTAGGTTTATATATCTAGATAGAAACCACCCTATAAGTAAAAGAGTAGATAGAAAAATTGCAGGGGCTTTAATAACTAGGCTTTAGTAAATAACCTTACTGGCAGGCTGTATGGTTAGGCCCTCCTTTTTTACTTATAATAATAGTGCTGTCCTCCTAGGCCTGGATTTTCAAAGGTTTATAAAAGATAAAGCTGCTAAAAGACACCTTAAACTCTTAAATAGCCTTTCTAGCTTTACTTTTGTTATATATTTAAATAGTTTATAGAATAAGCTTAGTAATATTAAATAAAGAGCAGTTATTTTTTACTAGGCTTATGCTATTAAAATAAATAAATGCCTCCTTAATGCAGAGGTATATAATATAGAAGTAATTAAAGCTTTTAAAGCAATTAAACTTACTAAAGAATATATTTAATTTAACCTAAATATTAAAGAGCTTATTCTCTTTTTAAATAACTTAGCAGTTATAAATAGTATCTTTGGCCTTACCCTAGCCTTTATATAAAAAGCCTATATAGGCTTTAGAAAAGTAGCTAAAGACCTTTTATTAAATACCTTTATTAAAGTAGCCTAGGTACTAAAATATAAAGATATTTATAGTAATAAAGTAGTAGATAAATTTATAAAGGAAGGGTTAAAGCTTCTAATATTACTATTTAAAACTGCTATAATAACCTATATTAAAAGGTAGGCTAGAAGTAAAAGAAAATAGCTTTAAGAGCTAGACTGGGACTAAAACTAACTACCTGTAACGAACCGTACACTAGATAGTTAATATAGGGTAGATTCCCAAGGGACAAACCTAGAATAAGTTCTTTAGGTTTATGTTGGCGGATAGATTAAGAAACCTATAGGCAATAATATTACAATAATAGTTATTAATAGGGATTAAAAATGCTTTTTAATCAGTAGATATAAAACTATATTAACAACTGGCTATTTAAGTTATTTAAATAAGCATAAGAAGTAAACTTATATATCTAGTTAGTATTTCTAAATTATAATAGATTAATGTTAATTCCCATCGATCTTAAGTATGCATTAAGATAGATTAAATATAATTTATATCGACCTATTGCTAATTAATGCGCTGGGCCTAAGTTAATCCAGCAATGCCTACCCAATAGGCCTATAGTTATAACTATAAGAGTTAGGTTATAATATAATACTCCCCCTCTATTAGTCTTGTCCCCGAGATCTAGTCATTTAATATATAAGTACCTGCATCCTTCTTAGTAAGTTGTTTTCCTTCTCTATATTCTTTTTCCAGTGTCTATTATATCTTATTATATCTAAAAATTAAAAATTCCTAATTCTTAAAAATAAAAGAAAGTTAATAAAAGTATAGCACTTGCTGCATTTATTCTTTTTTATTCTACTAAAATAAAGCCTTATTATTTATATAAAAAAAAAGGTATTTAATGCCTTGCCTCAGCAAAAGATTTAAGTTACTGTTCTAAATGTATAAAAGATTACAGGTTTTATTATAAGGCTTTTTTTACTACTTAGCAATTATTATAAATTTCCCGTCGCCGGGATTAGTTAAATAATGAAGTTAAGGCTGCTGAAGAGGAGGCGATGCGCCTGATGGCTAAGATTGCTTGTCTTTGTAAATAGCATAAGGATTGGAAGGAGAAAGCAGCATAAGCTGTTTCCCGTGGTATTAATGATTTAGAGGAATTAAAGCATGTTAAGCGCGAGGAAAGGGAGGCTGCAGAGGCTGCTTATTAGGCTACCCTGGCGGCGCCTAATTCCGCCGGCCTATCCCAGTCTATCGGCATTGTTGATTGGTCTGCGTTTAACCTAGACCCGTCGCTATTTCTATCCCTAAAGACTGGTGGTATCCCTGCAGAATTGCCTAAGCATTCCTCTTAAGTTCTTTCTTAAGGATCTATATATCTTTAAATAAGTTATATCCTTTCCATTTTATAAAATATTCTTATTTACCTGTTTCTTTATTTATTTGCATGTAAGTTAGTTTTTTAATTTTATATTCTTCTTCTTTATCCTAGACGATGATTTTATCTATAATTAACTTATCTATTTCTTCATCTACTAGTGCCTTTTCTAGTAGTGAAATATAAAAAACGGCTGTTTTTAATTTTATATTATTAAGTAGGTTTAACTTATAGTTAACTTCTTTAATTTTTCTTAAAATTTTAAATAGTTTAAGTTTTCTAAAATCCAGTTTGTCACTTAGTCGATTTATTTTAATGTTTAGCAGTTTTTTATTATGCAAATGCTATAGTAGGTAGGCTATATCCCCTTCCTAAAGGGTTGGTCCTTTAATCTTTATACAGTCGGCTTGTTGCTTTATGCAGTCTTAGATAAACTTAAGTTATTTTTTAAGTTCTTTCTGTAATTAGATCATATCTTTAGCTAAAATTTAAGCATTTTCTATATTTAGACTATTGCAAGGTGGTCTATAGGCTTCCGGTGTAAATCTATAATTAGCATAGAATGGTATAACTCCTGTAGATTCTAAAATAGAACTATTATACTAATTTTATGCTGCAGGAAGTTTTTCTACCCAATTATCTTATATAAGGTTAATATAGCATTATAAGTATACTTTAATAACCTAGTTTATTCTTTCCATTTAGCTATCTATTTATAGGTGGTATGCAGTGCTTAGCTTATAATAGATTCTAAGTTTAGCTATAAGTTCTTGCTAAAATTTAAAAGCAAAGGTATTTCCTTTGTCTGATATAATTTCTACTGGTAATTTATATTCTGCAAAAATATACCTTATGTAAAAATATACCAAATCTTTTACAGTATAGGACTTCTTATATAGTAGAAAATAAGCTTATTTAAAGAGTTTATCTACTACTATAAAGATACTGTTATAGACTATATTAGTTAATGGTTCCTTTAATTCTGGTAAATCAGTAATATAGTTAAATGTAATGGTGTGCTAATTTTATTTAGGAACTAGGATAGGTTGTAATTTCCTATATGGCCGATGTTATTTGTTCTTTATTTTCTTATATATATTGCATTTTTTAATAACTTCTTTAATTTTCCGTCGGAGTCCCTTAAATTAATAGTAGTATATTATATAATTATATGTAGTTTTAATACCTTAATGTGCTGCTGTAATTATGTAATGATAGACGTCCTGAATTACTTCTATTTGCAATTCTTCTAGTACCTAGATTTACTTACCCTATCTTAAAAGTCTATTAATTATAGTTACTTCCTCAGGGAACTGTTCTGGTTGCCAGTCCTTGACTTGATCCTTAATTTTGTTGAGGATAGGGTTGTGTTCTTCTACAATAAATAGAGTATTAATTCTAATTTGCTTATAATTCCCTTAATTATTTTTATATAGAATTTATACTTTAAATTCAGGAATTTCTTTAAAGTATTCTTCCTTTTAACTTAGAGCATCGGCTCTTCCATTCTCTATTCCTTTGCAATAGATAATCTTATAATTAAAGTCTGTTAGGAACTTAAAGTAATAAGTTTATTGTGCAGAAAGTTATTGTATAATTGTAAAGTAAAATATATTCTAGTAGTTAGTGTAGACTTTAATCTTATGTTTATTTCTTAGGCAATAGTGTTGCTATTCTTTAAATGCTTTAATAATTGCTAAGAATTCCTTATTGTAGATAGAATATCTCAGTTTTAGGCTATATAGTTTTCTAAAGAAGAAAGCTACTGGCTTAAGTCTTCTATCTTTATCTTATTGTCCTAAGGTCCCTCCTAAAGTAAAGTTAAAAGCATCTGTTTCTATTTTAACAGGCTTACTTAGGTTATATATAGTGAGTATTAGTTTGCTAGTAATAGCATCTTTAAGTTTTTAGAATGCTAATTTTATTTTATTAGTCTAGGATAGTCTTCTGTCTTTTTATTTCTTTTTGCCCCTTTTGTCTTCTTTGAGTTAAGTAGCGTTAGTTAATGGTTTTGCGATTTTGCTGTATCCTTAAATAAATCTTTAATAATAATTAGCGAGTTTTAAAAAACTTTATAATCCTTTGTATATTTCTAGGAGTTCCTAGTCTTAGATAGCAGTAACTTTATCTAGGTTTATTTAAACTTCTCCTAGCGTAATAATATATCTAAAGAACTTAACTTATTATATATAAAATTAGCATTTATCTAGGTTAATAAAAAGCTTGACGTCTTATAGTTTCTATAATACCTTATGGATATATTCCTTATGTTCTTTTAATATCCTTAAGAAGATTAGAATATCGTTAATATAAGCTACTATAAAGTCATCTAAGTATTCTTTAAGAATAAAGTTAATTCTTTTCTAGAATAATGCTAATGTATTTATAAGTCCTTATGGCATAATTAAGTATTTAAATAGTTTATATCTTATCTTAAAGGCAGTTATTTATTTATATCCTTCCTTTATTTTTATAAGTTTATAGGCTTCTGTAAAATCTAGAGCTGTAAACTAGTTCATGCCTTATAGTCTTTCCCTAATTTCAGTAATTAATGGTAAAGGCATTCTATCTTTAATAATTATTTTATTAAGCTGTCGGTAGTTAATAACTAAATAAAGCTTTTTATTTTTCTTAGGTATAAAGATAATAAAATACCCTGCTGGAGAGTTTAATACCCTAATATATCCTTTATTTAATTATATTTATAGCTATTCTTTAAGCATTTTAAACTTAGTTTTATTAAAATTATAGATTTTATAAAGCTTTAGTAAAGTTCTATCCTTAAGAACAATCTTATAATCTTATTCTAAGTAAGGTAGTAGTCCTTCTTTAAGTACTTGCTAGTATAATTTTTTATACTTCTAATATTGCTATAGTATTTTAGCTA